TTGTGGATTTTATGGATTGAGAACACTTTCTTACTTCTCTAGGATGTGCTAACGCTGCAGATTTATTTAGTAAAACTCAGGGCAAAATAAACCAAGGTGGTACTGCAGGTGCTCCAACCAGCAGAGCTAGTAATGTGGACAGGGAGAGGGTCTGGGGATGAAGCACTGACACAAGACCAGTGATGGTAGAAGTCTCTGCAAAGTCTCCCTTTATTGTGTCTTCACCTCTCCTTATATACTCCTCGCCCGTCCTAATTTAGCCAGGAAATTGAGTACAGATGAGTCCAATTAGGCTAGGTGTTTTTAGCTACAAGCCCCGTTCCTGTTCCTGCCCATCCCAAGGAGCACTAATCAACTCTAAGGAGGCCCACAACATGTAGCTACTTTTGTTAAGATTGAGGAAAATGTTGAGTGACTGTATCACAGTCACTGTAAAATGAAGCATTCGCTGTTCCAAGGAATAACTCCTTTAAGCATATTTTGTAATGTCATCAAACATATCATGTGGTATTATAACAAACCAGTTATTATGGATCTTTGCGTTGCCAGATTTTATAGCCAACCTATAAAACTGTCCAGTATTGTTACATGCATGCCTTCTTGATATCACCAAAGTTCCATTTAGCTTTCTGAGTTTGTAATAAAATCTTTTAAGACTTCATTTGACCCAGATTTAGTCAACCTTTAAGGAAAGGGAGTATTTCACTTCTATGATTTTATTTTGGTTTTGCACAAGTTAATTATTGAAAAGTGTGCTTCTTTGCCTCTGGCAAGGTAAACCAGCTGCTTGGTTTTGGCAGTTAAGGTGTATATGCACTTGGGCAAACCTGATTTTGTTTGCATTTCCCCAAGAATTCATTTTGCCAGTGCAATCTTGGTGATATGTTGGATGCTGTTTCTGAGTACTGTTTTGGGGGTCTTTTAAATAGATAGAGCTTCATAGTCATTTTCACTTTCTAAGGGCGTTCTTGCTGTGAAATCTCTGGAGACAAGCCAATACTCAACCTCCTGGCTTTCTGAGAGAACATTCAACATTCAGTCCTGTTAACATGCATGCATTTTAACTCATGGGATAACGATGAGTGTCTCATATTTAAGGTAAGTTTTTGTGCTTCAGCCAAATGACTTCCGAGAGAAAAAATGCAAACACTCTGAGTAGTTTTAGAAAATTAAAATACATCGTAATAGCTCCTTGGTGTCAGGAATGAGACTCCTTCATTTGGCAATACTACCCATAAGAAAGATCCAATAATATTTAATGACTATTTGATGGATGGTGATATTCATTTGCCATGATGTCTGTCTTCTGTTTTTCCTAATAGTAAATCGATGTGTGCTAGAGGGCTGTTTTTAGTAAGCACAGCTTACACACATGTTTTATTTAATAGCCAAAACCAATAAAATTTCACAACAGGGTTTTCCCTGGAAAATAATCCTGGATTGAGACAATGGGTACTCCTCTGGGGGGAAGGCAGCTAAGAGGCACCTTGATCACTATGTAACTATACAAGGTGCACGTGATTTGAACAACCAGTGCTTTCCGTTCCTGGAGATGAGGACCATAGTCTTTAAAAGTGTTCTACTTCCAGATAAAGATGGACTTGCAATGAAACTGTGTGCTATATCTTGACAATAGGGTGTTGGACTCTCTGTCATTGTCCATGCCCACAATGATGGACATATGACTGTGTATGAAGAACTATATTTTAGTAATGATATAGAGGAACTAGGTGGGAGGAGGGAATTGGGGAGGGGATAAGGGAAATGCCAGAAGCCTATGGAACTGTATCATAAAATGATAATAATAATAATAATAATAATAAAATGCTAAAAAAAAAGTGTGTCTAAGAGACAGACTGTCCTGGCCAAATTTAAGATTTATTTGTTTTTATTGGAAAGGCAGATATACAGAGAGAAGGACATAGAGAAAGATCTTCCATTCATTGGTTCCCTTCCCCAGTTGCCACAATGGCTGGAGCTGAGCTGATCTGAAGGCAGAAATCAGATTCTTCTGGGTCTCCCACGCGGGTGCAGGGTTCAAGGGCTCAGGGCCTTCCTTGACTGCTTTCCCAGGCCACACACAGGGAGCTGGATGGAAGTGGAGGAGTCAGGACATGAATTGGCACCCATATGAGATCTCCAGTGCATGCAAGGCAAGGATTTAGCCACTGGGCTACCTGTTTTTATCCACAGGGTTCATCAAGAAGCATCAGAAATCCATTTGTTTTTCTCTGTTTACCAAAGTGAATGTCTGTCTATAGGGCAAGTAAGCTTAACACAAGGATATTTTTATTTGACCGATGTGGGGGAGCGGCCAACCTTACACGTATGATAGGCAGTCGCAAGATGGCGGCTACCTGAAGGCCAGGAGGCGGAGTTGGTCCTGCCAGTAGGCAAACAGGAAGTCATGGGGATAGGCTGATGCCCTCACTGCGATTATGTCATTGCTACCGGCCTATAAGGTAGTGCCCAGTGGACCCATGGGGAGAAGTGATTGGTGGAGAACTGTATATAAGCAGCCTGCTTTCAGCAATAAAGCCCTTTTCGTTCGCTGGTTCGTTAGTTTGCATGTGTTTGGCGTGTGTGTGTGGGTTGCGGTGGCGGTTCCTGTTTTTCCAGACCCTCGAGAGAGTTCCTCATCATTCTAGTGTCGCTGGTGGACGGCGACAGACCGAGACCATTTTAAAAGTAAAATCATGCATATGCTTTTTAAGAAATGAGCTGTGAAGAATTGGAGCAGATCACCTGTGTAAATGGAAATGCAACAGCCCTAGCTGCATTTCCCTATCCCTAGTAATTCTCTGCCCAGGGTTGGAGCTGAACCACATCATCCCTTCTTCCTGACAACAGCTATGGTTAGGCTTTGTTATTGTTTTACATAAGTGTATATCTCTTTTGTAAAAGCATGGTTAGCAACTGCATATTCCTTGGTGTGATTATTTGAGGAACATTTGCTTCTCCCTCGATGGCTTAGGGGTCGTGCCGTTTTGCTCACCAATGTAGCCACAGGGTGTGGCTCAATTTATGGTGTGTCTGTTGGAAAACACATGGAAAGGCAGGAAGAAATGCTTGGGGAATGAGGCTATTGAAATGTAGCCTCTTCAAATCTGTGTGGATACATTCTCCCAAGGCACGGGCATTTGGTGCATGGATTATGACACTGCCTGGCATGTCTGCATCTGGGTCTTCTTCCTATCCCAGCTTCCTGCCAATGCACACGCTGGGAGGTGGCAGGTGATGGCTCAAGTAGGTGGGTACCTGACCCCCACCTCAGAGATCCAGACTGAGTCCCTGTCTCCTGGTTTCTCCTGGCAGCAGATATATTTATCCCTGTCCCCCTGCATTTCAAATAAAACCAGCCAATAAAAATGTAAGAATATATATGTTACTGAGCCCACTTGGTAAATAGAGTAGGACCTACTTATTGGGGAGAAATTGGCATTTATTTTTAACATTGGTTCAATTAAAATTTCTAAAGCACTGTGTTGTCTTCACTGACTTACCAATGAGCTAGTTACCAGAGTTCTGGGTGCTTGGTAGAGCAAGAGGCAGTGTGGTAGCTCGTTATTTAGCCATTGCTCTTACCATGTCTGCAGGCCTCAGTCTGGGATAACCAATCTCTGCGCCCCCCCTGGGGGGGGCGGAAATTCTGCATGAAAAACCACCTTGCAGTGGGCTAGTTACACCAACCCCCAACACTGAACTCCCGGAACTGGAACTCTCTCCTTCCTGCTCTGATGCCTCTTTGGCCAGCTCCCCAGATCTTTGGTGGTCCCGACTCTTAAATTGGGATTATGCCTGTGTGACAGACCGTACACCCAGAGCATTGGTGAACTGTGCTCCTCCTGTGCCCAGTGTCCAGTATTATTTTCTTGGTTAGCCACTCAGTAACTGAGAGCCTGCTTTTCTTAGCCTCTTCTCAGGGTGTTTGCCAATTCGCCTCACTTTACAAGGGTTCCTGTGCCAGCCAAATTGTCCCATTCTCCACCCCCTCCCCGCCCCTTGCTGGGTGGGGGAGGTGGGAAGTCTACTATTGCTCAAAACCTTGAGGCTGCCGGAGCAGGTGACTGCAGACTGGAAGAGACTGGCCTCAAACTGCCTTCCTGGTGCCAATGCCAGGTGGTAAAGGAACTTTCACTGCCACAGCCATTCCTTTGGGCTGAAGCCGGGCTATCCCAGTGTTCTGCGTTCCAAGGGGTGGGAGCCAGGCAGCTGCCTTTTATCAGAATGTTTTCTTCCAGAGATTAGCTGTGGATCGGGTAAGGACCAGGTCCAGTCTGAAAGCTCCTGTGACCTTGACAAGGGGTCGGGGTGGGGGAAAAGTGGAAGAAGGCAAAGGCAAACTTTTTTAAAAAAAATTAAATAATTACTGGGTTTGAGGCCAAAGGTGTATTTCCGATGATGACGATGCTTAGCTATTCCTTTCCACGCTCCCCGCAGGGTTTCCACGCCCTCTTTGCTTCCTTCCGCCCACTCGGCTAGCCCAGCCGAGCCTCAACTCTCAACTGGGCACTCGCCGCGCGCCTCCAAGTCTCCCGTGCCGCTCCGAGTCCTTGCGTCCTTGCGCAGCGCTCCGGTCACTCCTCCGACGGCGCGGAAAGCCTAAGGCTCTGGCACGCACCCTTTTAGCTTTGCCCCCAGCGCAGGGGCTGCCGGTCACCTCTGACTAAATGATTAAAGAACCAAAGCTGACCTGGTAAAAGCTGGCCAGCCCCGGCTGCTTCCCCGCCAGGGAGAAGCAGTCCTATTCTAGCGCGAGCGTACTGTGCCCCGCAGTGTCAGGCCGACACACCCGCGCCGCGGTCCCCTGGCTCGGCCCCTCGGGTCCTGTCACCCTCGCTCTCCAGCTTGGGCCTCTCCCCTCCTCCCCGCCCGCGGGGACCCCTCCCCGTCCCGCCTCCGGCCGGCTCCGCCGCAGCCGCCATTGGCACGGGTCTGCCCCAGAAGGACGCCCATTGGCCGTGTGGGAAGTCCTTCACCTCGCGCATTCCGCCGCCTCAGGCTCACGAGGAAACTTCCTTATTATTGTGACGCCGAAAACGGAGAAACCCCTTCCCGGGCCAGAGGAGCTGTGACTGGTGGAATCCCCGGGCTGCTGTCCGGCTGCTGCGGAGGTGCGTGGGGCGGAGGCCGGGATGCTGGGGAGCAGGGCGCCGCCGCGCAGCTGTGGCTGCCGCGTTCCATCGCGCACGGCGAGGGGCGGCTTCGCGGCTCGCGCGCCTCGGGTGGCGGCGGAGGTAGTGGCGGGGGCAGCTGCAGGGGACCCTCGGTGCGAGGACCGCTGCCTCGGCGCGAGGAGGTCGGGGCGCCCCGTGGGCCTCGCGCGCCCCTGCCCGCTGTTCTCGGAGGGGTGGGGGTGGGGAGGGGTTCACCCTTCTGCCAGACAGCCCCGCGCTGGGAAATGCTGAGAGCCTTAAAATAAAACTGAATACGATAAAAATGGAAGCGTCCGCTCCCCTGTCCCGGTTGCCCGCAGCCACGGAGGAATAGCGACGCTGAGACTCCCAGCGAGGGCTCCCCCGTCCTGTCTCCTCCCTTGCTCCTATTGAAATTCCGGGGCGCTCGGCTGGCTGCCCGGCGGGAAGGGTGTGAGAGCCGGCGAGGCCTCCTTGAGTGGAGGGACTCCCACGGCTGCCGTGAGGAGTTTGCGTCGAGGACGCGCGCGGGCCACGGCGTCCGAGGAGCTGGAGAGGCCGCGCCTCCAGGTGGAGCGGGCAGCGAGGGGGCGTGCGGACACGTGTGTGTATGGGGGGGGGGGGACACGTAAATGCGCGGCAGGCGCCAGGTGCGACTCGGGGAGGCAGTGTAAGTGTAACCGAGTGGGCCAACCAGGCAAACCAGACGGAGCGGAGGAGCGGGTGATGGAGACAGCAACTGCGACCGTGCTTGGATGCTGTGCGGGCGCCTGAGCTCCAGGGAATAGGTGTTTGAACTTTGCCGGCGGCTGGTGCCTGGGTACTTGGGCTTTGAAATGAACCCGGGTAGGAGGTCCCTTTCAGTTCCCTGCTGAGTCTTCTAGGATCTTGTTGGTGTGTGTCACGCACCACATGCTCTGGGAAGGGACGATTCGAGAGCACCCTTCCATTTTTGTGTGCCTTCTGGCTCTTTCCACAAATAGGAAGCTATTTCTAGAGTCTTTTGGTTGATGATTTGATAACATCCAGACTGGGGAACCAGAAATCAGGAGCGGATTACCCAGCTTTCTAAAGGCAGGGGCTGGGGAGAGAGGGTATCATGCTTTAGGCGGCTTACGGCACGCTCTTTCCCTTAGTGTTTTCCTGCGCTCTGAGGCGGAAAGCTAAAGGGGAAAGCTAACATAAGCGAATTAAATATTTTAGAACAAAATAGGTGAATTACATATGCCACATCCTTGTCTGACCCCAGAAAGCTAGGAACCTTCTGGACAAAGTGCAATGCAGGAATGAATCCAGGAGACAGGTTGAAAATCTCTGCAAGAGTATAGCTTCTCCTTTGGCAAGAAAAAACAAAACAAAACAACCCCCAAAACCCAGTCCTACTGTGGCAGGGAGTAGCTGAGGGTTCATTTTTGAGAAAACAAAACCCAAAAGTCAAACAGGATTCCATAATAGTCTGATGGTGAGGGTGAAGCCGCTGGCTATATCATTGCTTAAATTGAAGTTTCTTGAGATTGGTGCGATCAATTAGAAACACCCTTAATCCACAGTGAGAGTAGTGCCCCTGCTGGAAACATTAGCTTTGCATCCGTTTTGTAAATGCGGGTAGTATTCTGCAAATGGAATGGTCCATGCAGCAAGGTGATAGAGGATGATCTCCATAATAGATATGACTGAAAACTCCATGCTCTGTGTGCTCCGTGGGCAGACAAAGACAACAGACAGTGTGGAATTTTCTAGCCATTGCTCTTCCTTGTACAAGCTGGAGATTTTAAGACAACAGCACTACTGTCTATCAAGATGGCTGGAGTTTTACATCATGATGTCTCTAGCTGATGTTTCGAGGTGGTGGATGTCTTCAGAGCTAATTAGAGGTTATCTTACTGCGTTTGGACCAAATGGAAGTCTTAGGATACACTGACTGGGGAGTAGCGGAGCTTGCATAATTGAAAGATATTCTTGTTTTCGGAAGTTTTCTTCTGCCTTTTTTGCTTGCTGTACCCTGGCAGCACTCCGATTCTGTACTCAGGTTCATTCTTATTTCCTTCATTTACAGAGCTGCATGGTGAGCTGGGATAGGTCTGGCTGCTCCTTCAGAGTCCTGTGTGTGATTGGTGGTAAGTGACTTCGTGTTGTCAGGGTGGGCTTCTCCTGTCGTTGGAGCTGCTCCCGCCTGCACAGATGCCATACATGATTCAGGCAGTCAGGCTGGTGGCGAGGGAGGGGCCTTCTCACCTCCTCGTGCCTGCTTCTGCTGTGAGGCCTTGAGGAGCACCTGGGGACCACAGACATCCATGGTTTTTGGCTTCTGTTTCCACCTCTTACTTCCAGGAGCAAAGTCCCCAAGGCCTCCGCTGCATTAAAACGCTGTTAGGAATATAAATGCCCTGCTTAGAGCTAGCCTCAAGTGGACTTTAAGGCCTCTTTAATAAGATTAGCTCGGTAATGATAGAGCTCGGCCCCATTTAGACATTTACTGCATTCAGGAAGAGTGCTTGCTGGGAGCAGAGTAAGTGAACTGTTTCTTTGTAAGTCCGGGTGACCGAGGAAGCCAGTTTAGTTAAGCTATTGGGGTTGCTTTGCTCATTCCTGCCCCCCCTTGCACTGGCTGACCTAGGTTTAGCCTTGCTATACATTGCCAGTAATATACCCAGTATGAACACACCCATTACGCACAACCTCCACCTTAAACTCTTAGTTGCAGAGTGGAAGAAAGGGTGTGCCTTTTGTGGCTTGACTTCCTTTTGTTTGAGAGATGTATGGGGTCCTGTTTGAGAAGGTGAAGTTTAGGGTCTGGTAAGGGAGACTGAATTCCTGTCTTCACTACGTTTGTCAGTTTCCATTTAAGCTGCTTATTTGCATATGTTCTGCTGGGAGACTTAACCTTGTTCTGCCTTGGGGGTTTTCAAGGTGGTTTTGTCAATTTACATTCCCCCTTTCCTGTAAGAGTGCTGGCTGTTGGGTATCTTTGATTTGACAAAGTGTAAATTAAACCACCTATGTAAAGTTTGGAGACCAGACCAAATGTATAGTAAACTCGCAGTCCTAACAATTGTGAATTTGTCTTGTTGAGCTCCTGCTTGTTGAGCCCCTGCTGTGTACTAGTTTCTAGGGATTGGGTACTTCGAGGAAGCTCAATCTCTCATCATGAACATCCGCTCCTCAGTTCTAGTTTGTGATTTTGAAGCTCACCATTTTCTGACAGCAGCACTTGTAAAATGCTTTTTAATTTTTAAAAATATTTTTATTAGAAAGATAGGTCAGATTTACGGAGAGGAGGACAGGGAGAGAAAGATCCTCAGTCTGCTGGTTCACTCCCCAAGTGGCTGCAGTACCTGGAGCTGAGCTGATCCGAAACCAGGAGCCTCTCTGAGTCTCCCATGCAGGTGCAGGGTCCCAAGGCTTTAGGCTATCCGCTACTGCTTTCTCAGACCGCAGTAAGCAGGTAGCTGGATGGGAAGTAGAGCATCCGGAACATGAACCGACTCCCACATGGAATCCCAGGGCATACAAGATGAAGATTTAGTCATTGAGCCATCGTGCTGGGCCCTAGAAAGCTTTCCATTGTGAAAAGAGATGGTATTTTATTTTAAAATAGGTTTATTTTATTTGAAGTGTTACGGGGTGCGAGTGAGATCACACCAGACATGTCTAAGGTTTATTAAGGAGTCTTTATTAACTAAGCTTGGTGATAATGGAGCACATTAGAAATAGCAAAACACAAGTCCACAAGGCAATCCAAACAAACATATTCCAACCAATCATAATCCAATCAAACATAACCCCAAGAGGAACAAGTTGTCACTACCCTTAAGTCCATGTGTTAAGCTGAAGACCTATGTCCCAGCTTCCCCAACAATATAAGTTATCCTTAGAGACATGCAACGAATAACCTGGACACGCTTACAGAGCTGCAGACATTAACCTTTTATGGCTTCTCTGCCTACATTCCATCACTGCTGGGCCTCACCCTCCTGCAACTCCTGATAGTACACAAACCAGAAATAGCATTGCTATAGCCATTGTCCATCTAAGCAGTACACAGGGACCATGCTCAGTGGATTACCTGTCCTGGGTCAGCCAAGAGCCGAGGTGCCAGAGTAATGTAAGCACCTGACCAGAGAGAGAGACTTTTCTTTACAAGCCTTTTAAAGGGGCTTATGAGGGGAGTCCTTTGAAAACTGTCCCCTTTCAGATGATAGGTGAATCTCAAGTAGGCAAGAGGGGAGTGGCCGAGGATGGAATTAACATTCCATTGCTGTTAGGACACACCTTCAGGACAGAGGATAGGGGACACAGTCACATTTCATTTGTCCACTGTCAATGGGTGCTGGCTATCACTGGCTACATCCCATAACAGAGTTAGAGAAAAGGGGAAGAGAGAGGGAGAGAAAAAGAAAGAAAAGAGAAAGAGAGAGAGAGAGACAAAGAAACAAACTAACTAACTTTCCATCTGCTGGCTTACTCCCTAAATGGCTGCAAGGACCAGGGTTCAGCCAGGCTGCAGCCAGGAGATGCCTCTGGGTGCAGGGCTCGAGCACTTGGGCCATCTGCTGCTGCTGCTTTCCCATGCTACTAGCAGGGGAGCTGGGTCCGAAATGGAGAAGCCAGGACACAACACTGTGATTGATTGATTGATTGATTGATTGATGTACTGCATTGGGCGGCTTTATCTAACTTGAGCTGAAAAGCAGAACTATCTGCAGCCTGAAATTGTGGGAATCTGGCTTTCTCAGATTGGGTTCAATTTGCTAGGTACCTGTCAGGCCTCTGTTTTGGTTCTTGTTCACTTTGCCCAGCCCATAAGACACCAAGATGCAGGAACCTGAATTCCTTCTTGGAGAAGCTCACAGTCCCGCTGGCTCTGTGCTGGAAGAGGAGATGGGTGACTCGGCCTTACTGACACTTTGCAACTTGTATACATTGTCAAGTGTTCAGAGGCATAAGCTAATGCATGTGGTGTTTAGGTTAAGATGCCAGACAATAAAAGGATAGAATCAGAACTTTAGCCTTGCGCTTGAAGCTGCTCCTCTTGTGTGCTTTCCAGATTGTTCTCTGGGTCCCTACTGTGTCTAATCATAGCCTCGTATTTTGTGTTTATGGTTGCTTTACTTTCCTTCATCATTTTACCAAAACAAGTATATTTATTTCCACATAAAATATTTGTTCTGCTTGAGTCTGAAATTTATGAAAACAAATCATACTCTGAATTCTGTCAGTGAACATTCTTATTAAGATTAGTGCCACAGTTGTTACAGATGGAATTTATTTTTCACTGCTGTACCGCATCTGTCTTATATATGGGCTACAGTTTATCTGTTTTTCTATTAATGAACATTTGGGTTTTTGTATTTATTTATTATTCATCTGAGAGAGAGATTGATTCCATCCTATGGTTCACTTCTGCAAATGGTTGGCAGGAGCTGGCTGGGGGTCCAAAGCTGGGAGACAGAAATTTAGTTCAGGCCTCTGTTTTGGGGTAGCAGGGACCTGATTAGGCAAGCCATCACTGTATTTACAGGAGGCTGGAGTCAGGAGCCTTAGCCAGATACTTTGATGTGGGATGCAAGGATTCTAACCAGTGCCTTAAGCACTAGGCCAGATGCCTGCTGCTCATATGAATGTATCTGTATCTATAGCTATATCTATCTACATAGATACATAGATATGAATAATATTATGTATATGTATATCTGTATCTTGGTACATGTATTCAAGAGTTTCTCGCTGCCTTATATAGATAGCAATTAGCCGAATGTGTCCCCTTATTTGAAAATGTTAATCAATTGAATCCTGTTAATGTTTTAGTCCTTCAGATGAAGTAGTCACATCCCAAGTTCCAAGCAGCCATGTGTGGCTGGTGCTGCCTACCGTAGTGATGCATAGTGTTTCCCTCTTTCTAGAAAGTTCTGATTCCAGGCTTCCTTGTCTTTGTGTCAGCTGTTCTCGGCATGCTGCCTCAGCACCACCGATGCTTAGCAAGTCACCCAGCGCTGGTCCTGTGTCCTGCCGTAAAGTGACTGTGCTGTGGGTGGCGTTCGTATCTATCCTCATTTGATAATGCCGACTTGTTTTCCAGGTAGTTAGTTTATCTAACTTGTTTTCCAGGTCAGTTTATCTATCTGCCAGCTGCATATAGGGCTGTGCAGTGTTGACTTGGCTTTTTGGTTCTGGTGGTCAGGTCCCGCTTGTGGTCGCTTACACAGACAGCGGGGAGCTCAGCCCCAGTAAGTAGAGAAGGTGCAGCTGTAAGGGGTGATCAGAACAGAGGTTGGAATGTTCCATGTGTTGGCTCCATATGAGGCTAACGACCAGAGCAACTGAAGCAGAGAGAAAACTGCGTGGTGTGGCTTCACGTTGTCCAGGACTCCTCTCTGCCGTCGGAGCTGCTTCTGCCTGCGGTAGCAATGTCTGCTGGTGAAGCGCGACAGGAGAATTTGTCTTTGTTGTGTGATCAGTCCTGGAGTTAATTCTGCATTTGAGATTTGGTTCCTGCCTTGGATTTTGGAGCACCTGCAATGCACTGAAGCCTGGGACTGCCTGTTTCTGCTGTTTGAAAGGATCCTTCCTCTCTGTCCCCCGCACAGGAAGTTTGTGGAAGGTGTGTTTGGTGAAAATAAATTGTGCATGGATTGAAAAATAAATTAGCACCAGAATAAGCTGATCTTTTAGACATCACTTTTCCATGAGATTTTTGAAGTGCCTTCATATGTCATCTAGGTAGTCACTTTTATTTGACAGGAAGCTTATCTTTGTTTGGAATGAAGTTTGGAGGCCCTGCGTGAGTGTTTTTGGGTTTCTGTGACTTTCAGAAGCCAGTTGGGTGGCCATGTGCCTGCAAGTTTAGGGATGGAAGGAAGGCCATCTTGGAGCAGTCGGCATAGTAAAAGTGGAGAGAGATCTGCCTGCCCATATCCCCCTTGGGAGTTTAAAAGGAAGAGGCAGGTCATGCTGCTTTATGGAAGTGTAGGCTGCCCGCAGGACACAGCCGACGCTGGGGGCAGGGAGCAGGACACAGCACGCTTGCCTGCTGTGGGGACTCTGCTGAGGCTTCCCTGCCAAGTGCTGGGGTTGGGGTGTCAGTGGCTACAGCATCCTGCTGGGCTCTTTGCCCGTG